ATCTGAGTATGATAAATTGGAAAAAACTTTCTCTACTATGCATGCCTCGAACTTGGTGCTCCAACAGCAATATAGGCAGCGCCAGTTTAAAACATATTCGGAGTTGATCTCTGTACTCCTCACAGCAGAAAAAACAAATGAATTGCTGTTGAAAAATCATGATTTGCGACCATGTGGGTCCCAAGCTGTGCCTGAAGCACATGCTAATCAAAACAGAAATATGGGCCGATTTAGAGGCCGTGGGCGTAGATTCTGGCGTGGTGCACGCAGAGGTGGTGGACGTGGTCCCCCTCAAGATGCCCGAAATAATGACCGTGGTGGATATGAATATCCCCGTCGAAATAATAATACGGTCTGGCAGAGACAACCATTTCAGGCAAAACGCGATAAAGGCAAAATGCCCGCGGAAAGAATTCCAGAAAATATGTGTATTAGATGTGGAATGACTGGACATTGGGCCAAAGTTTGTAGAACCGCCCAACATCTGGTAAATCTGTACCAGGATTCAAAAAGAGACAAAGGAAAAAATGTCCAGGCAAATGTCACTGAGGCAGAAATGCCACTTGCTGTTCTTGAAGCCAGCACATCTGGGAGCATGCTTGATCAAGATCCTGCTCAAGATGGAGCCTCTCTTGAGTTATCAGATTTCTTTACAGATCTTGACCCTCTTGTGTAAATTGCCAAATGAGCATCTCTTTTGGGTTATTTTGTACTCACTATGTATACTTTGTATATATCTCTCTCGGATGATGTAGTACCCGAGATTGAGCTAGTTTGTCTTTTGATGTATCCATGTACATATCTCCCTTGGAAGTTATGTTCCCGAGGTCGAGCTGATATTTTGACTATGTATAAAATTATGAGTTTGTTATTATATCATTTACAAACTATACTACGATTCAATATTAATTTTATGTTATTTAATTTATAGGCAAACATGGAGAACATCGACAAAAGAGAAAATTGCCTACTCGATAGTGCAACTACACACTCAATATTCAACAACAAAATATATTTCTCGAGTGTGACTTTGTGCAAGGCACAAGTTAAAACCATAGCAGGTTCCGCGGAAATAATAGATGGCTCTGGGAACGCAACAATCGTGTTGCCTAATGGTACCACTTTGCATATTGAAAATGCATTGATATCAGGTAGATCAAATAAGAATCTACTGAGTTTTAAAGATGTGAGACGTAATGGATATCATTTAGAGACACTGGTTGAAAATACCGTGGAGTGTCTCTGCATCACATCATATGTTATGGACAAAAGAATTGTTCATGAAAAACTCGAAGCGACAGCTTCTGGAGTGTATTGTTTCCAAATTAGAGCTTTCGAATCCTACGCCACTATGCCATGGAAACTTGTTAATCCCAATATACACGGATTATGGCATGATCGACTGGGTCACCCAGGAACGACTATGATGCGTAGGATTGTACAACACACTAAAGGACACCCATTAAAAGATACAAAAATCTTGATGTCCAATGAATATTTCTGTGAATCATGTTCACAAGGAAAGCTCATTATAAAACCTTCCATTGAAAAAGTCGGTTATGAATCACCATCGTTTTTACAACGTATTCATGGTGATATTTGTGGACCAATACACCCTTCAAGTGGGCCATTTAGATATTTTATGGTTTTGGTGGATGCATCTTGTAGATGGTCTCACGTATGCTTATTATCTACGCGAAATGTTGCATTTGCGCGTTTGCTAGCACAAATTATTAAACTCCGAGCACATTTCCCTGATTATCCCATTAAAAATATAAGAATGGATAATGCCGGAGAATTTACATCAAAAGGTTTTGATGAGTATTGTGCAGCACTGGGAATAAATGTCGAGCACCCAGTAGCATACGTTCACACTCAAAATGGACTGGCGGAATCTCTGATTAAACGCGTCCAAATAATTGCTCGTACTTTGCTGATGAGATCGAAACTCACTAGTGCAGCATGGGGCCATGCAGTATTGCATGCATCAGCACTGATTAAATTACGCCCCACTGCTTATCATATGCATTCCCCAATGCAATTGGCATTAGGCTTTGAGCCCGATATTTCGCACCTTCGCACATTTGGTTGCGCTGTGCAAGTGCCAATTCCTCCTCCTCAGAGGACTAAAATGGGTCCCCAACGCCGACTTGGCATATACGTTGGGTTTGATTCACCATCGATTATTAGGTTCTTGGAACCAATGACGGGTGATTTATTTACCGCTAGATTTGCGGATTGTCATTTTGATGAGACAATATTTATACCGATTGGAAAGGATATTCAGAATATCCGTGATAATGATAAACAAAAACCAATCGAGAATCTCACATGGTGTGAGCAACATTTATCTCATCTAGACCCACGTACCTCTGAATGTGAAAATGAGATCCATAGAATCATTCATTTACAAAATATTGCCAATAGACTTCCTGATGCATTTAATGATGCCAGTAAAGTTACGAAGTCTTATATTCCAGCTGTGAATGTTCCAGCTAGGATCGATGTTCCTCAAGAACATGCGAAAATGAATGATGATCCCCCACGACAAAAACGGGGTAGACCTATTGGATCAAAGGATGTTATTCCTAGAAAAAGAAAGGGGAAAATCGATGAACCCTCAAACCTAGTGGTTCCTAGTGAGAATGCTTCAGATGAATCTGTTGAGCCTGATATCGAAAAAACGATATCAAATCCCGGGAATACCGAGAATCCCATAAGTTATTGCAATGAAATATGGGATAGAAATGAGATAATCATCGATAATATCTTTGCATTCTCAGTTGCACAAGAAATAATGTACGATGATTATGATAGTGAACCGCGTTCCATAATGGAATGCCGCCAAAGAAATGATTGGCCTAAGTGGGAGGAAGCAATAAAATCTGAACTGGCTTCCCTAGAAAAACGGAAAGTATTCGGGCAAATCGTTCAAACTCCGGATAATGTAAAGCCCGTTGGGTATAAATGGGTATTTGTCCGTAAGAGAAACGAGAACAATGAAATTGTACGATATAAAGCTCGCCTTGTAGCTCAAGGTTTCTCCCAGCGACCTGGGATTGATTATGATGAGACGTATTCACCAGTGATGGATACGATCACTTTCCGTTTTCTTATCAATATGGTCGTCCAAGAGGGACTGGACATGCGTCTAATGGACGTTGTAACGGCATATCTATACGGTTCACTAGATTCTGATATTTATATGAAAATTCCCGATGGATTTAAAATGCCAAACTCTGGCGCTCCTCGTGAGCTGCACTCAATTAAACTGCAAAGATCATTGTATGGTCTAAAGCAATCTGGTCGCATGTGGTATCATAAATTGAGTGAATACCTTATCAGGGAAGGTTATAAAAATGATCCTATTTGCCCATGCGTTTTTATTAAACGATCAGAAACCGGATTTGCTATTATTGCGGTTTATGTAGATGACATGAACCTCATTGGCACTCCTGAAGAGTTGGCCAATGCAGCTGAATATTTAAAGAAAGAGTTTGAGGTCAAAGACCTTGGAAAAACCAAACTCTGTCTTGGTATTGAGCTTGAGCATAAAAATAACGGCATACTTATACACCAATCTGCATATACTAAACGAGTGCTCAAAAGGTTTAATATGGAAAATTCTAATTCATTGAGCACCCCTATGGTTGTGCGCAATTTAGATCCTGAAAAGGATCCGTTCCGACCTAAAGAATTTAATGAAGAGATACTTGGCCCAGAAGTGCCGTATCTAAATGCTATCGGAGCGTTAATGTATTTAGCACAATGCACTCGACCTGATATCGCTTTTGCGGTAAATGTGCTTGCAAGATACAGTTCTGAGCCAACCCGGAGACACTGGAATGGTGTTAAACATATTTTTCGTTATCTCCGTGGTACTGCGGATTTGGGATTATTCTATTCGAAAAATAAAACTAACCAAGGGTTAGTTGGTTATGCCGATGCGGGATATAGATCTGACCCGCACAAAGCTCGCTCACAAACTGGATATTTGTTTTGTTATAATGGTGCGGGTATATCTTGGCGATCTACCAAACAGACATTGGTGGCCACCTCCTCAAATCATTCTGAAATAATAGCACTATATGAGGCTGGCAGAGAATGTGTTTGGTTAAGATCGGTCATATCACATATACGAAATTCCTGCCAATTAAATCCAGTTACAAATACGCCCACTATCATTTATGAAGATAATGCTGCTTGTATAGCACAAACAAGAGGCGGATATATAAAGGGTGATAGGACCAAACACATATCACCAAAGTTCTTTCATACACACGAGCTTCAGAAGAATGGAGAAATTGATGTCCAACAAATTCGCTCGTGTGACAATCTTGCTGATTTATTTACAAAGTCCTTACCGACTTCTACATTTGAGAAATTGGTATACAATATTGGAATGCGAAGAGCCAATATGAAGCAAGATTGACGTCCCACCTCACAAATTATATTGCTCATTTCAGGGGGAGCAATGGTGCACTGCACTCTTTTTCCCTTATGACTGGTTTTGTCCCACATGGTTTTTCCAGCAAAGGTTTTTAACGAGGCAGCTTATGCACACGACTTATATTTGAGACGATACAATTATGCTACGTCCAAGGGGGAGTGTTATATCTACATGGACTCAAGCAACCAATAAAATGGCTCCTTTGCATGTGATACAATGGCTTTGCACGTGATTGCATGATGTACATACATGGGACTTCTAGATATGTCCGTAGCATTTTAGCAAATTAGATTAGTACATGTATTTGTATACGTGGAAGTTTTATACTCCCTAATGATGTATATAAATAGATGATTAATTCAATGAAGAAACACACTTCTTCCAAATACAGTAGCTAAAGTCCTTACAGTAAATACACACTTTACATCTTTCAATTTCATCTGTAGCTTTCGTATAATATATATTTTGTAGTTTGCATAATTACAATATACATAATATATTTCGTTTATATACACATATATATATCTTCGATTTACTTTATAACACTGTTAATATTATACAATACCATATTTCGAACGAGAAGCCAAACCACCACTTCTTAATATTATAAATTGGCAAGAATTCTCACAAACTATTGAGTAGATCAAAATACTCAACAATATGGAAGTGACTCTCTTGTACGCTTCTTTGGTTGCTATGTTTTTCATCTTACTAATCTTTAAAAGGAAAAAGCATCACAACCTGCCACCAAGTCCAGCCGGAGCACTCCCCATCCTCGGCCACCTCCACCTCCTAAAACCACCGATCCACCGAACCTTCCACCGTTTCTCTCAAAAACACGGCCCCATTTTCTCGCTCCGATCAGGCGTCCGACCCGTGGTGGTGGTGTCATCACCTAATCTAGTTGAAGAATGTTTCACCTCGTCCAACGACATCGTTTTCTCAAATCGGCCGCCGGTCCTAGTAAATGAGTACATAGGCTACAACCACACCACTATGGCCGGCGTTCCCTACGGCCACCAGTGGCGCAATCTCCGCCGGTTGGGCGCTCAGGAGGTGCTCTCCTCCGCCCGTCTCAATTCCTTCTCTCAGATCAGACATGAAGAAGTGAGACGAATGCTACAAAGCATGATCGGAAAGATAAATGGAGAAATTGATCATGCAAAAGTAGTGCAACTGAGGCCCAAACTGTTTGAACTTATATTCAATATAATAATGAGGATGTTGGTGGGGAAAATATATTCTACTACTAGTGAAAATAAAGGGGATGAAAAATTAGGTATCCAGTTCCAAGAGATTGTAAAGGAGGTTTTTAAGCAAGCTCTATCGTCGAATCCGGAGGATTTTTCGCCATTTTTGAATTGGGCTGATTACAGAGGTTTGAAGAAGAAACTTGATGCTTTAGGTAAAAAATTGGACGATTTTTACCAGGGTTTGTTGGAGGAGCACCGCCATCACAAAAGGAATAATACCATTGTTGGACATTTGTTGTCCCTCCAAGAATCGGATCCAGATTTCTACACAGACCAAACCATCAAAGGATTTATGACAGTAAGAAATTTATGTCCCTTTTTTGGTTCATATGGTTTGAAGAGTATTTATTGGTCAGCATGCAGTAAAAAGTATTTTTTTTTTAAATTCTTTTTGGTTAAATTTCGAACATCTCAACTCGAGCACCTTATTCATTATAAGGCCAGACCAAATGGTTTTGTAGATGCTACACCCGGTGATATACATCTGATGATCTTACACCATTGATCTACACATAATAACACATATAATCATGTGTATGTGCGCTTAGTAAATAGTTATTTGTATAGATCTATGATGCAGGATCACCCAGTGCATTTCACCGGGCCTACCATCTCATAGACCAAACCAAATTAAGAAAAAAAAATCTTCTTTTTGCATAACTATATTACCTCCTTAGATACGCTTCGTCTTACATTTTTCCCCTAACAACCTCAATAGAAGGAGATGCTTCGTCTTACATTTTTCCCCTAACAACCTCAATAGAATCTTTTATCTGCATTCCTTTTAATATCAAATTTTACCCCTTTAGCTAGTAGGTACTGTAAGAACTTTCATATATTAGAGGTTAATTATCATATTTTAGATAGTTTACATATTTATCTAATTTATAAATGTTGCATAGCTAATTTTTTTCTCTCTCTCCTTTTCCTATCACGTTTACTTAACATCCTCTACTCAAACTTTGTAGTAATATTTAAAATAAAAATGTCTTGTGTATATCTCTAGTTTCGATGTTAGACTTTGTTTTCGTAAAATAGCCATGTTATACAACTTTAAACAACGAGCCATAGTACTCAGAAGCCAATTTTGAAACCTTTTAATTATTTGTAGAGAAAATAGAATTTTAAAAAGTCTTTTGTCGGCGGAAAAAGTTTCCCTATAATATCTATATAAAATTCTAGGGATTTAAAAAATATTGGGGGCAGTCACCCAATGTTGGCTTCCTGATGGACATAATTAATGTTGACAGAACATGATAATTGCGGGCACGGACACATCCGTTGTAACTATAGAATGGGCAATGTCCCTTTTGCTCAACCATCCGGAAGTACTCCACAAGGCCAAACTAGAGATTGATTCATATGTAGGGAACCAACGTTTGGTGGTGGAACAAGATCTACCTAATCTTAATTACCTCGGTAACATCATTCTCGAGACATTTCGCATGTTCCCCGCGGCACCCTTGTTGGTGCCTCGTGAGTCATCAGCTGACTGTAAGATCGGTGGATACGATGTGCAACGTGGAACTATCTTAATTGTTAATGCATGGGCCATTCATAGGGACCCACGTGTTTGGGAGGAGCCCACGAGCTTCAATCCAGATAGATTCCAAGGAAAAGATAATAATTATGTTGAAACGCAAAAATTGATGCCCTTTGGAATGGGGAGGAGGGCGTGCCCTGGGGCTGGTTTGGGGCAACGAATGGTGGGATTGGGTTTAGGGTCATTGATTCAGTGCTTTGAATGGGAAAGATTGAGTGTCGAGAAAATTGACTTGAATGAAGGAGTTGGTCTCACCATGCCAAAATTGAAGCCACTAGAGGCTCTGTGTAGACCAAGAGAAATTATGCTCAGGCTTCTTCAGGACGCTGCCCCTTAAAAATGTTCTCTTGCAATATTTCAAAAATGTATCCGAATAAGATTCACAATCAAAGTTTGTGAAGCTACTAACTAGTGAGTGCTCAAATGTATTTTTACTTGTTGAGTAACTATGGGCAATCGCAAGAATGAAATTACGTATACATATAAATAATCGATGATTTGTATTCATGTGTTTTTCTCGAGCTACTCCCTCCCCGTTATAGGGGTCTTGGGTGGCATTTTTGTAATTCTTGGGGAATTTTCCATCATGTCGTTGCAAGTGCTTGGTGATTGCTTCGAGCACTATACTGTTACAAGTTGTAACAATAACATTAAAGCACGGACATGTTGACATATATTTTTAAATACAATCTGATATTTACAAACTCTCTTAATTTTGTACTAAGTACAATGAGTGACATCTTAGAAGCCTCAATCCAAATTACAAGCTCTATAAATATCTTAAAAGATAAAACCTATAAATATGGGTTCAAAGATGTTTTAAACAAGTTCATTCTCATTCTCTTAAGAATACCCTTGAGGGATATCGTTTCCCAAAGCGAGTAATGAGTAATCAGTTCATCAGGTTGTTCGTCAAATTCGACTGCAACAAAGTCCAACCTGCTAATAGTGCATTTAGGCTCCGTATGATTGGCAAGATTAGCCAAAATTAACTAAATAGTAAGGTTTAGTTTAATGTTTGGTTAGCCCTATTATTTAACGAGTCTACCCGCCAAAATGATTTTGCCATGGCTTATCTTGGCAAATAGGAAGATAACTAATTGGACCTTCAGAGGTCCAATAAAAGTTTTGTGCTATGACTAGATACGTTAATGACACAATTGTCCTAGTTTTCACCTATTTATCACAATGACATATTCAATTATTTTTTGAAAAAATAATTAATATAAAATAAAATTCGAAGAAAGTAAAATCAAATTTTTTATTTAAAACAAAAATAGTTTTTTGAAAAAAAAAAAAAAATTCGAAAAAATATTATTTTTATCGAAAAAAGGTTTGAAAAACATTTTTTTTGAAAAGAAAAGAAAAGAAATTTCAAAATATAATTTTTTTTTCCCGAAAAAAATATATTTTTTATTCAACTTTTATTTTTCGAAATATAAAATAAATATTGGAAAACCTGAAGAAAAAGAAATTCAAATTTTTTTATAAATAACCGAAATGTTTTAAAAAAATCGAAAATAATAATAAAAAAATTATTCGAAAACTAATTTATTTTTGAAAAAAAAAATCGAAAATAATTTAATTTTTTTTAATAACAATATTTTTTTCCGGGAAATAAAAAAAATATCGGAAAAACTGAAGAAGACAAATCATATAATTGTGTTGATCCTTGCAATTAGTTTTTTTCGAAAAAAGTAAAAATTAACAATATATATATATATATATATATATATATATATATATATATATATATATATAATATATATATATATATATATATATA